CTCTTGCCGCATTGCAAATCTAGCTTTAGGAAGTCGCAGGGACTGGTTCATACTGTGTCGGGTGGAGTAGTTGTGGGTTTCTAGGGTTCGGTTAAAGATGTCTAGGTACTCTGGCAACTGGTTGTTTATCGACTTTCGTACAGTTTGTAGGAGATGCATATGACGACGTGAAGACAGAACTACACCATCAGACTCTATAACAACCTGCCTTGAACCTACACTGAACCTACCTGATAAAGCAACTTTGCGCATATATGTTGTAAATAATTTTTATATGTGTCTTTTGTATATATGTTAGTTTATATGTATTGTTTTTCTATGTGAATGCTGTTTAATGCTTCAAATAATGTGACAAATTGTACCTAATTCAGGGGGATGCGCTTCTGCTCCCCCTGCTGTTGTACATTTGTTAAATGATGAGCAATAAATAAAGTTGAATCTTTCCAGCCAAGGCTGGATAGATGATCAGAGCTGACATATCCCCGAAATATCACATACATGCTAGCCAGCTGCAACGCCTGTCTCTCTAAAAGCTGACAAGTTTAGATTCCTTGTTAAATAATAAAAATAAATCCACAGAAAGGACATACACCAATCAACTGTCATAATTTCAAGGGTACCGTTGTAATAGACCATCAGATTTAAAGGCATCCAATGCATGTTTTAGGGCTTGGAAACCCGATTTTTCAAAGCCAATATTCTAATCATTCGTCTACATACTGAGTTAAAACAGCACTATCCAAATGTATAGCGACCCACATGGACCAAAACATACCCAACATTCTGAGGGAAAATGGTTAATGGAAGGCCCTTGGTTGATTTGTAGGGTGCCACCCATTAAAAAAAGAACTCATCTTGAGGCTTGTTTCTGCAGTTTTAAAGGCTTAAAGTACGAAATACTGATTGAAATGTGCTGATCTGTATCTGTATCTGTATAGCCGGTATAACCGCCTTTCGGCGTAACACACCAGCTTCGCAGGCACGCGAAGTTTCTTTTCATTTCCGTGACACTAGCACCTCTTTCATAGTTGTTCATACAGAATCTTGCAGCTTGATTCTGTACCCTTTCCAGTTTGTCTTTGTCTTTCTTTGTATATGGATCCCATACTGTCGCAGCATATTCTAGGTTCGGTCTTACAAGTGACGTGTATGCAAGTGATTTTACTCTAGTTGGACATGCCCACAGATTACGTTGATGTGCAGCAGTATGTGTCAGTATCATAAAGATTGCCTCATTCAGAATATTTCCAGTTTTGCTGCTCTGAAATCGCATTGGATGTCTTTGAAAAGGTGTTATCAAGGCCTTGTGAAGAGTGTACTGAACACCCGGATATCTTTACTGTTGATACCTCAGGGACTACTGAGATGCATTTAGTAGATGAGACTTTTGACTTTTTGACATATCCTTTTAACAGGCTGCTATATATAAAGTCAAAATTACCCTTCATCCCAGATATCCTACACGTTTCTTCAGTACCCCCATGTGGCGTTCCTCATTCGAGTCGATGTGTAATCTCCGGCGGCAGATGTTAGTCATTCCGCCCGCCCAGGTAGTAATGCCACACACGGGAACGCTTTCCCGACCAATTTCCGACGCCGACCAATTTCCGACGTTGTCGGATATTAGACAAACACGCACTTTAGCATCGATCTGCAAACTGCGGGTATTAGCCCATCGGAGAAGTTAACAACTTTCAGCAGGCATCTTTCAGTGAAATTGTGTCCAGGTCCTGGTGGTAACCTGGTATCCAGTCTTTCGCGGTTGGGGCGGATTTTTTAAAAATTGAAACATACAATGACAAGACGTGTTGGCGACACACTAAGTTAAACTTATATTCATGTCGCCACCAGACAATACATAATACAACAAGCAAAGCACGAGTTTTCATATAGAAGTTGAATACAATAATTAATCAATGAACAATTGAAACAAAAATATAAATACTAACAGGATTGATCAAGATATTACAAAAAAGATTTGATTCTAACAAAAAATGTCTGTACATGTAGTAGTATTTGAGTATTGTACATTGTTGACAGAAAAGAAGAACCTCTAAAAGTAAATGTACCAGAATATCATCTGGAAGATCATCCAAGTCAGTATTAAAGCTAATCAGTTTTTCAAGGTGCCAAAAAGGGTATTTTGTTGTTGAGTGTAGTTGAGCGGATTTTCTTCGGGGCTGCTGAAGCTCTTCCCCGCCCGCCTCAGCTAGGTTCCCCCGGTAGGTTTTTCTCGATGAGAGATTGATTTAGCCCCACCACGACCACAACAAACTCCTACAGGCGTAACAAATCCTACCGGGCGACCTGTTGAGCTGGACGGGGGAAAACTGTTAGATCCCCGAAGACAACCTGCCCCAACCACGATAGACCGGACACCAGGCTAGTGCTCTGGCGGATAGCACTAAGTTGCATCCCTGCGTAGAGAGTTGCTAAACGGTCGATCGAAGATCAAAATCACCGTGAAAGAGACCAGTCCAATATGCTAAAACACGCGCTGCGGTCGCCGTCATTAACACCATCAGTTAACAGATATTAATTAGCACCTATCAATTATAACAACTTCCTGTGCGTGGTTAGGTAATAAGTGCTCAGTGGGGGGATGAAGTTAAACTTGATGTGGGGTCGTGTGGTGTAGCGACAGAGTGCGCGACTCGGAACCTAAAGGTCTCGGGTTCGAGTCCTGACATGTCACCAATCTTGTGCCCGTGGGAAAGGCACTTTACACGACTTTCCTCACTTCGCTCAGGTGTAAATGAGTATTGTCCTGTCATGTATTTGTCCCCTGTGTTGGTGGCGGCATTAATATAAGTTGAAAAAACTTGAGTGTGCCGTCACTACGTATACGTCTGGTGATTACATGTTGGAATAAAAAAAAAACGTTATCACCCTTATTAAGAGTTATCGGTCTTTAGGTGTCATTAGAGTAGCCTGACTACATCACGCTTCTAGCAGATTTTCCAATGGTCAGGGTCTTACCCCTATACGCTTGACTGTCAACATCTCCAAGTCATTAGAAATGGGAACATCCTGACGTTGTTACTTGTTGTATTGTTGTTTTGTGTTTCTCCATTTGTCTACAAATGCCTTAAAAGCGAGAAGAAGTTGAACCTGGCTGTACATAGTACATGTAGTTCTCATTTCTTCTGTATAGTTTTAGTAAGATTATTTCTACTTTATACAAAAGTTAGTTAGTTAGCTTATACAATAAAGGTCTTTTATTAATTCATTCATTGACTTCGAACTGTCTGTTACCATGGATATTTTCATCTCTTTATTCATGTACTTTCTTGTCGTAATTACCCCAAAATATGCAGTGGAAATATAATAGGTAAGACGATATCTATAGGACGGTCAATGCACCATTTTGCAAAAACAATATATATCAACTTAGACACAATGTATGACATGTCGTTTCCACACGGCCCGGTCCACCATTTATCAAGCACGTTACATGTTCCAACAAGAGTTCCGAGATCTCATACCTCCATTAAATATGGCTTGATATGTAAATTTCTTCTTTAATTACGCAAATGACCTCTGCTAGGGGGACCAAACCCACACCACTTATTCATGACAGGAAAATCTATCTGTCACCAAAAGTTCAAGACCATAGCATGTTCAGGACAAAAGATACAAAAACCGGAAGTTCTGCTGCAGTACCAAGTTCATCCACCAGGAGGCCCATATTTGACCTTAAACTTCGTCTTCCTAAGACTTACCAGCATACCAAATATCATCACAATCCATAAAGGCGTTATAAAGTTATGCTAACTACAAATGTGCGGAAACACAAACACCAACACAGACAGACAGACAGACAGACACACACATACACACACACACACACACACACACACACACACACACACACACACACACACACACACACAGACAGACGTGCCAAAAACAATACCTCCATTTTTCATGGCGGTAAAAACACGGTAACTGATACTGGCGCCGACGGAAAACATATTTTCCAAGTCGCGTTGGGCTTGATTTTCTTTTAGATATTTTTCATCTCCTCCAGTAATGAATAATAGATAAGGCGATATCGTATTTTATTTTGATATAGTCTTTATTGTTCACTGATATCCACAGAAAGAGATTAACATAATATACATCATACACAAAAAGATTTTACTTTCGTCACATTTCTGTAAATATGTGATCTTTTTACGCTACATTTGTGATATTTCATTAAAGATCACATATTTAGCATATGTTATATATGTGATCTTTGATTATTTCATATGGTAAACATCTGATATCTTTATGCTATGTGATCTTTTTAAGCTTAATGTACGTAACTACGTTTCAGGGTTAAAATGACATGTTGTAGATTCTGAAAGTAGTTTTTTTTTCTTTTTTTATATATTCCGAAACATGCAATCACAAGACGTGGTGACGGCACACTCAAGTTTTTTCAACTTATATTAATGCCGCCACCAACACAGGACAGTACAATACTCATCTACACCTGAGCGAAGTGAGGAAAGTCGTGTAAAGTGCCTTTCCCAAGGGCACAAGATCGGTGGCATGTCAGGACTCGAACCCGGGGCCTCTGGTTCCGAGACGAGAACGCTGCCGCTGCGCCACACGACCCCACGTTCTCTTCGAAGGGTAAGGTTGCAAGGAAATGCATCACTGTAACTATTCTTAAATGCCCTCCCGTTTGAAAATGTTTATTTAAATTACTAAAGAGATTACTAAAACTTGGGGTTGGAGTGGTGTGGATCCGGACTAGCGGCAGAGTGTTCGACTCGGAACCAAGAGGTCCCGGGTTCGAGTCCTGACATGCCACCGATCTTGTGCCCTTGGGAAAGGCACTTTACACGACTTTCCTTATTTCGCTCAGGTGAAAATGAGTATTGTTTCGTCCCCTGTGTCCTGGTGACGGCTTTAATATAAGTTTAAAAAAACTTGAGTGTGCCGTCACTACGTCTTGTGATTACATGTTGGAATATAAAAAAATTACTAACTTGTTTTCCTTTTTACCACAGTGATTGACCCTCCATTGAAACGGCCATGTAAGCAGAGCAACCCGTGGTCTACCTCTGATAACTACTATTACAAGAGCAACCGGATGTAGCCGATGCAAAGTGAGTTAATTTTTTTTATTTACTTCAGAATTCACCTCAAAACAAGGCTCGTGAGAGCCACTTACATGTTTTGGGTTACAGTGATGACTGCGTGGTCAGATATTTGTTCACCCTTGATTTAAACCGTTGGAGGTTGTAATTAGCGGTGAAACATTCACGGGGAAGCTTGTTCCACAGTGAAGTGGTTCTGGGGAAGAAACTGATGGACTAATGAGGAAGAAAGGGTGATTTTCTGCTGTTAAGGTGGCTAAGCGTGTTCTTGCAGAGAATGTTCTGAGTGGGGGTACAAGGGAGTGAAGTTCAGCAGAGCATCTGCCGTGGAAATATCGATATAGTAACGCCAGGCTAGCAACATCGCGCCGGTGTGAAAGCGGTTGTAAGGTGGCGTGCAGGTCTCTCCCAACGAGATTTCGCGAGATAATGTAGTTATCTTTCAATTTTACAAAGCAGAAAATTTACACACTGGCCGATGTCCACAACCCCATTTAATGCAACAATTTTTTTTCAGGCAATATATTCATTTCACTATTTGGCTATTATTTGGCTATTAGTGATTAGAGATTATGTAAATATTGTCCAATGAATGCAGTGGAAAATGAAATACATTTTGTTAGCCAGTGTCCTCACTATGAGACCGAAAGAAACAGATTATTTCAGACAGTTACAACAATTTCTACATCATTTCGTCATTTAGAAGATCACCAAAAAAACTGCATTTCTACGAAGATCACAAAACTCACTAATTATGCAGAATGTGGGACTATTCATTATCCACTGCCTTCACAGAAGAAGTCGAACCCCATAATAGCTAGCGTAGTAGTAGAAGTAGAAGTTTTTTTTTAGACAGTTGTTACCTGTCTCCTGTTACTGTATTGCAATGAGTATTATACTTGACTGTAAAAGCAATTAGCCTTCGGGCATAATTTTGCGAATAAAGTTTCTATTATAAAATTTAGCAACCTTCTAACAATCAATGTTATTTAAAAAAGACAATGGTACGTCAGATTTGCCAGTATGCAAAAATAAACTAATCCGCGCCCCATGTAAAGAACCAATCGAAATCAATCCGTGAATGCCTTTTGTGAAGTGATTCCTGACTTTGGGGATTTCGGTATCGGACAATATTGTCGACAAAGCGGCTTCTTTTACGAGAAATCAATGGACACGGTAATTGTGGGGCGACCCGTGGTTAAGCTGAAAGCCGCCGTGGGGATCCCATCACTTGAGCCGAGAGCAATTACCGTGCGTGTGTATGGAGACGGATCAGTACAGAAGGGTACTTTTGAGCTCGTGCATGGACTCACTGGCAAAGGTATGGTGAGAGTATTTTCGATCGTGATTTTCAGTGGAAGAAAAATAAAATTTTTGCTGACACCTCAGTAGCGGAGCCATGGGGACGCCGATGTATCGAAAATGAAGGAGGGCAAGAGAGTGCTTCAATGGTTTACTGGCCTCTCCTGCTTGAAGCATTTTTTTATCGAGTCTTGTACAATCTGTTGACGACACCTTAGTGGCGAAGCCTGAGGTATATGGCTTGGTTTCAAGAAAGAATATTAAGAAAGAGGACGGTCAATGATAGAGGCTTTCAGACCAGACAGGCAGATGCGGCTGAAGACATGTCACGATTGACCTTAAGTACTGTCATCCGTAACTGTCTTGAAGACGACGGGAGGAAAATTATATTATGATTTCAACAATGTCCTTCAGTCGTTTTGACAATCTTAATCACCAGTATATGTACATGTACAAGGCCACGTCCTATTCTCTTTTATTCTAAGATGATGCTGAACACAACGTATTTCATACAGTAGGCTTTTCTGGCTGTTATGGAAAACGAGGTATCTGTATCTGTATAGCCGGTATAACCGCCTTTCGGCGTAACACACCAGCTTCGCAGGCACGCGGCGCGGCGGCAGCTGGCTATATTACACCGATCGACTTGTTACACCTAACCCTTGAACTTCTAGCTCTAGACTTTGTTTAAAGCTATCTAATGACAATGCCCCTACTGTACTTGGTGACAGCGAGTTACACTCTGCAATAGTTCTAGGAAAGAGGTACTGCCTTACCAACCAGAAATACGCATGGAATCGCTGTGTAAATGTCAATGCTTATTTTTAACATGTCGCTTTGTCGTATAGCACATATTGCACATATCCATTTTCACACCACGCATTATGAAAGCTAAGGTGTAACTTTAGAGGGATTGCATGCATGATTGTAGATAAAAAAGAACAATTAGAGCTTAATAAGAACTATCATACTTATAGGAGTGTCAACATCCTTATTCTAAACAACGATATCATGATAAAAAAACCCTCACGATCACGGTATTCTAGTGCAATGCAGTGGTAGGTAGCTCTTGAGCTCTAGCTCTTAACCCTATCTAGACCGGGCTTTTTTGAGCAAGATTTGACCGGGGGGGGGGCTCTTTCGGCCCCCCCCTCAGAACTCGCTAACGGTATGTCGTATGGCTACCAAATTTTCAGAGGATGGTGTACTAGTTAAAATATATCATATCTACAATTTTTTTGTCATTATGACGTAATATGACGTCATTATGACGTCATTAATGTGATTTTATTGGCCAAAACCGTCTAGATAGGCTATTCCCTGAAAACTAAATGGTATACAACATAACTTTACCAAAAGTGTTTATGACAGAATATTAGAGTGTACTAAGTCTTATGTTGCCCATAGCAACACCGGTGACGTCATAAAATGACGTCATACATATTTAAGATATCCGCCATCTTGGATCATCAATGTTGAATTTTCAAAAATAGTTTTTTTTCGTGATAAAGCCTAAAATACATTGTAAACATACCAAAGACCTTCTTTTTTGGAAAAAGAAGTGGAAGTATTGATGAAATTTTAAGGAAAATAACTTGTACCTGTTCTAATGATATGGTCCGCCATCTTGGATTTTGGCCAATGACGTCATCAAATTAGCATAAATTATGCATATTTAATGATAAAATTTACATAAATTCATATGGGATGTTATTAATATTAGAAACCATGAGTAACTTGACATAAAACCCATAAAATTCTATTGTTGAAATAAAAATTACTAAATTTAGCAAAAAATGCCTGTCAGAAACCCGTTGCCATGGCAACACAAAAAATTACTATCTTATTCCAATGATAGAAAATTGTTGCCAACAATATTTTAGGAAAAGTCACCAAGTTTGGTCGTTCTAGCCCTAGCCATTCAGACGCTATGTGACATCAAAGTTGGCGCGGGCACTTTTAGCCCCCCCCGGTCTAGATAGGGTTAAAAGGTAATATCAGTTTTGGCCCTCTAGCAACTTTCGCTGGGATTGCAGGGTCGTTTTACTTGCATGATAGGGATGAATGGATTCTTTGTGTGATTTTGGAGATAGTATTTTTGGTGCCTGCACCCACGCAGGTGATGCAGGTTACCTCATATGTAACAAATTTGCAAATAGCAAATTTGATGTGTTGTGTTTTAAAGCCTTCCCAATTCAGCCAAATATGGCTGCTTACGTACAGGCTTTTGTATGTACTTTTTGTAAGACACAAATAAACCAGTCTCTCTCTCTCTCTCTCTCTGTCTCTCTGTCTCTCTCTGTCTCTCTGTCTCTCTCTCTCTCTGTCTCTGTCTCTCTGTCTGTCTCTCTCTCTGTCTCTCTCTCTCTCTGTCTCTCTGTCTGTCTCTCTCTCTGTCTCTCTCTCTCTCTCTGTCTCTCTGTCTGTCTCTCTCTCTCTCTCTCTGTCTCTCTGTCTCTCTGTCTCTCTGTCTCTCTCACAACACCTGGTGGTCTGTTTGGACGGGATTCTGGTCACGCCTGCCCCAGAAAACACCTGACCCGAAACGGCGTTCCGTACGCCCTGCCGGCTGAACGGTCGATACACATCACGTTATAAATGTATGATATCGGAATCACCCGGACCGGATCGATACCAGCTCTTGTGTTTGGAATAGGCCCCGTCCTTTGGCGGCAAATTTGATGGGTTTTTCGGCACACCGAATTAGCATCGATTGTTTGTGTGAGAAAACGTAATAGAATCAATCCGGCTATCTCCCAACGTCCGGTTTGCATGGATCTTCGTGAACGTTTCCAAGAAATGTTACGACTCCTGGGGCCATTTCTGCTTTCAGGTCGCTTACCCTTTATGGATTGTGGCGGAACTAATATAATGTTATATATCAAACAAGCTTGGTAAAAACCCAAGCGTTGACCCATTTCCGAATCGACTTTGTCTGCTGCCTACGTCAGAATCAGTTTTGAATCCCTCAAGCGAAAGTTGATCTTTGCTATTTCATTTCTATTTTTGCTATCATATAGCAATACTTTATTACTATTTCAGCTTAGTTCATTTTCTTACCTTTATACATATTCGTACCTTACCTACTACTATTTTTCCATGATGAAAAATGTAGAAAACATATTCCTTATTTACTTCTAGCATCTATCAAAGTGACACTTTTTGACCCCCCTCACCGCCCTCAAACAAAAGAGAGAGAAATCCATGTACCCCATGGTGAGCCTTTCCTAACAACACATTAATTGCTTTACATCAGGGCCGCAAACGTGCTGGGCCGGATGATGGCCTCATTAGTCTTTTACCCCTGCGCCTTTGGGGCCTTCTTTCTGGGCCTTTCTCTTCCCATGGCGCAGACGACGTTCTGACGTGAAGCATATGTAGTGAAGTTGGCCATATCTACACGTCATGCAAACCGCTTCAAGTGAATAGGCGTAGTCAGTTATAAAAATATTAAAAGGCCAATGGCTCTCCCCCTGTCCCTGATGATGGCCTCATTAGTCTTTTAACCCTGCGCCTTTGGGGCCTTCTTTCTGGGCCTTTCTCTTCCCATGGCACAGACGACGTTCTGACGTGAAGCATACGTAGTGAAGTGGGCCATATCTACGGGAAACACGTCATGTAAACCGCTTCAAGTGAATAGACGTAGTCAGTTATACAGATTTAAAAGGCCAATGGCTCTCCCCCTGTCCCTGTATTTGATTGCATGT